GGGCATGCTTTTATTTTATTAAAAATAGCTGTTTGAAGAGTTCAAGCCAGCCAGCTCAGTAGTGTCAATGGCAAATACTGCAACATTTCAAATTACTTGTGTTACCTTTAAGGAATGCAGTAATTTTCAAGAGCCGAACAGAACAAATAATCTAAGTGACTACTTAGCTTATCCACTAATATTTTGTATGCAGCTGTCTGATGATTTACTATTTCATTATCCCATTAGTGGAATCAGCTAAGAAAACATGAATGCAAAGTCCAAGTTCTTTGGATAGTCACCAAAATGCCATAGTGGCATTATTTTCCAAAATAACAATCTGACTCCTCACATGATAGTGACATCAGATATGACTTAAACCAGGAGAAATCATCATTTCTCATTTGTTTAACCAGCCCCAAACCCTCAGCATGTTATCTCTCCTTCCCTCTCTTTATTAAATTTTTCCCATGCGAGTTACTTGGGGAACATAAAAAAAACTGCAGAGGCTGGGCACACTTGATAATGTACACCATCACGAGATTAAGAGACATCCTTTTCAGAATAATGCACCTAGTGAACACAGAGAGGTGGGGGAGAGCAGCTGGGAATGAAGTATGCTTTACAATTACTGTTTCCACACAGAATTCCTTTGAGATCAACACTGCAAGAATCCCATTCATTTCGATGGAATTCATTTATTTTCCAATGTTATGAAAAGTAACTGCAGCACATAACATAGGCACAGTAATAACTTCACTAAAGTATACTGGCCATTGTAATTTGGATCACTGTGAAAGCTGGTTTTTATTACAGAAGAAAACCATCCTTAGAAATGGGTGGAAAGACATCACTGTTTGAAGAGATGTGTTGTATAACGTCCACCGCTGAAACCTTTGAAACAGGAAGAGCAAATACTTCGCTGGTTAAGATATGAATGCAGTTACAAAGTTTCAATGTGGAATTAATAGACCAGGGCAGAAAATATTCTGGCCAAGCACTGATTCAGCAAAGTACTCGGGCAACTTAAAGCATGTAAGAAGTACCACAGAAATAAGAGGGGGGAGGTTTGAAGGTAAAACCATGCCCATGTTTAAATATTGTTCAAGTTTATCTGTTAAGAGTCATCCACTAATTGTCTTTACAAACAATAACCCTTTCCAAATTTAAATAAAATTTCAGAGAATCCTTTTAAATTTCTTGTGAATTTAAAAGCATGTCATACCTTAAACTAGAACCTAGAAAATAGAATCTGGAAAAAGTCTCAGTTTGAGGGTTTTTTTTAGATTTACATTTGGTGATTTATGTTATGCCTTATTTCAGAAAACACAGAATCATGGAATGTATTGGGTTGGAAAGGACTTGTAACTAATAATCTTTCTGACAAGCAATGACAAAGAATTAGGACTGAAGTCACTCACACCAGTATTTCTCAACTTCTTTAAATCTAAACATCCCCTAAGCCTTTCTGAAAACAAATCAAAACAAAACAATAAGAGGCCATTTAGAGCAGTGTCATCACAGTTAATTTCTGGACCAAAATCAGGTCTAACTTTGAACACCAAATTTTTTGCCCAATTTGCTTCTCCACAACTTGTGGTTTGTTGTTCAGCTGAAATTTCGTGCAACTGTTTCTGATGTCCTATGGTTCACTGAGATACACAGATCTAGTGCATCCTACTGCCTAGTATGACAAGTAGTTATCTAACCTGTTTTTAAAATTCTCCAGTAGTAGACATGCCACAATCTCTCCAGCCAAACTATCGTAGAGTTTAACCACATCAACTTTTGGAAAGATTTTCCCAATGCCAACTTAAACACTCCAGCAATAGAAACCTATTATTTTTTTGTCCCAATTACAAGGAATCACCAACAGATTACTTCCTTCTACCTACAACAAACTTGTTAATGCATCAAAGGCTTATTAATGACTCTCCTTGAGTCTTCATAGTCTCACTCCTCTTCATCCACCCTCACTGGACGTGTTTTGTAAACCTCCAGTCATTTCTGCTGCTCTCCTTTGAAGTCTTTCCAACTGTCCACACTCTTTATAAACTACAGTGCCAAAAACTTGGACTTCAGCAGAACTGAGAAGAGCAGGAGTGTTTCCCCCTTCTTTGGAGCTGTTTCTCTCTGTATACATCCCAGTACAATGATTGACTTTTTAGCACCAGTATGACATTGTTCCTTTCCCACAGAAGCAGCAGTGTTCCTAGCTACTTACCAAGCCAGTTGTTCCTGGCTTTGTATTTGTGCAACTCTTTGTTGAAGAGTTGCACATTTTTACAGATCTCCTTTGACTGTGAACTGCTTTCCATGTACTGTTTTCCAACCAGATGATACCCACTTTACCTAGACTAAGAAAGGTACTGCATTGCACAATCAGAAATACTGAGAATCAAGATTATATATGTGCTTATTAGGATTAAATTTCAAAATTCATAATAGTTAATAAACACCAATTTTGTAGTCTTCCACCCTAGCCACATCAGTTAAACTTCTGCTCTGAGATGGCCCTGGAAACTGTAACTGTTGTCTGAAGGGAGACAAGCACTGCTCTGAGTCAGACACTTGGAAAAAAGAAGCGGCTGAAACTGCCCAGAAATTAAAATCAACAGGTCCTGAGGTTTCCCATGAAACTGGAGGCACACAAACTGACAGCAACCAAGAAGAGGAGGGGCAATAAACATCAGCAAGCAAAAATAAACATCCATTTAAACCATCAATATTCAATAAGAATAAATGCCAAATTCTAAAAGTCTAGATATCCATTTGCTGCTTCTTTCTTAGCCACAAGGCCTGTCAGAGAATAAAATTAGATTGTTTTGACATAATCTGGTCTTGACAAATCTGTGTTGGCTGTTACAATTGGCATATACAATTTGAGATGTCAAAAGATTTATACCATTGAAAAGGTAAGGCCAATAATTGAAGTTCTGATGGGCCTAACAAGAGAGTGTCATAATAAAGAAATCACTCAAAAAAACTTGGTTAGCACAGCAAGCAGTCAAAAAATGCAGCTATTACTTAGCCAACTTGCTAAAAGACTTCTAGTCTAAATTTTTGCACATTCTATGGAGGAAAGCAAGACCTAAATGTATGTAGCACAATATAAACCTCAGGAGAAAAGAAATTCCTTTCCTTTTAATATTGCTCTCCTTGTGTAGTAAACTTGGTGACTGGCAGTACATTTTCATCCAAATATGCACACATACAAAATTACAGATACATCTCACTCCCCCAGTGACTTTATAACAAGTTGCTAGGTAACAGTGCATACAAGTCAGGTTTCAAGACCTCTAGTAAGTCACCATAAAATAACTGCATAGGCCTTTTGCATGAATAATGTACATTTTTATCATTTTTCTGATGCCAATAAATCAGACATTGAAAACATGACCGTCTGCCAAACTGTAAACAGCTCCCCATCAACTGCTACACAAGAAACAACACATCAAAATGTTGTATGTTGTTTTCAGCTCTTAGGCTTTCCCCCCTCTCCTGCTTTCTGCTCTCATTCTTGCTACATGCAGCCATCATGAGCACTACCATCTACAAGTCAGTACAGTCGATGGGTAGAGCCACTTAGTGCACAGCAATCCAAATTTAAGATAGACATCAGAGCAACAACATAAAGAATGGATTTCATATAGAGTCCAAATCTGAAACGCAATTAAAAAACATGTATAAGCAAATCAGAACAGACTCATCTTCACTCATTTTGTGTTGGTAATAATAATAAAATATATAAACAGATTTTTTTTTTTCTCTTTTAAAGGGAAGCTTTCTGCGGCTTCTTCCAACCCACACAATAAACCCTTTGTGCCAGCCCATTTCACCTCCTGCTTGTACTCAGCTCTTTTCCTTTTTCCTGGTTAGCTCCATGAAGCTTCAGGTGTGATTTCCTGCACTTACCCATTCTACTCCATTCCCCACAGAACTGGTATAAACATCGGGGCAGATGATGGCAGCAAGCCTTTCCAAATAAATGGCTGCAGTTTCACCAAGGCAATAGCATTAGGACAGAGCTAATTTCCTAGTCTACCTGACAATAAAATATACTAAAATGCAACTTACATTCCATTTAAAGGAAAAAGGTGACCAATTATTCTCTATTGAAAAGGCTATCTTCTATCTCCAAAGTCTAAAATTTGCCACAGAGACTGCCATCTCCTTGTGAAACAGAAGTTTCTTCAGTGGTATTTTTCCTGACTTCTTTCTCTTTAAGAATTAAAGGCCAATTTGAAAAACTTCTAGTATAGAGCATCTCACCAGCATGTCCAGAATTCTGAAGTGTTCAGTCAAATCAATAAAAGAGCATGTAAAAGTTAATAGATTCACCCCAAACACATCCCCCACTTCAGAGTCTCACATATGAATATCAGTCTTACAGCAATAATCTGACAGTGAAAGAAAACACAATAAACACATGCTTTGCATTAAGTATTGATTTCAATTAAAATAGTAACAAATAAAAATTGAAAGCTGTTCGTGAATCTCTACAGCGACCTTTTTTTCAGTGTTAATAATCAAGAAATGCATTCATAATTCACGTGTGGTGACTAGTTAGACCTCATACGCCACTCTGAAAGAAAGGTGACCAATACTTTATTGGTCGTATCCAACAGATGGGTAAAGGCAAAAAACTTAAGAGCTGAATTTTCTACCATGCTGGGCATCTGTGACCCTCAGTGATTTCAAACCAGAACTACAAGTATTCAGCATGTCTGAAAAACACACCAAATGAGATTTGCTTAAGTAATGGTCAACGAACACGAAAGCCTGGATAAAAAGTTCTCACTTCCAATTGCAGCAATTAAAGAGCAAAATCCCTCTCTTCTCTCACCATTTCCCCTCTTTCCTCCATCATGTACCTCTCCTTACCAAAAGTAGTAAGAAACTATAAGTTAAGAAGTTGTGATGTTTTTTATCCTTGCTTTTCCATGGCTTAGCAAACCCAAGGCAAAGTGTTTCTTAGCCCATAAAGGAGCAGCTGAAGCTGCCACTTGCTGCTCAGTTACCTGACAGCTTCATAAGAAAATCTGATGCCATCTTGACAGAGATGTCTTGGCTGAATAGTGCCGATGCGGTATTGGCCACAAAGTCAGAGGAGTCTTTCAGCTTTGTGTTGTTGGAGGCTCTGTCAACAGTGCCAAGAGCAAAAGGTGCAGCTGAGATGCCATTGTCATCTTTGGGCTCTTCTTTTACTAGTAAGGGTGGAATACTTCCACTAGGCTGCCCAGCCACATCAGGGGTTTTAGGTACAGATGCTGATCCCGTAAGGTCAGGTCCACCTCCTTCCCTCTGTGGTCCTGGGCAGGAGTCACTACTTAGCTGTGGTGACCCTTTCACCTCAGTTTCTGGTATTTCCTCCTTCATTTTGGATTCTGTCCTGAGGAAATGTTGATGGCAACGCATATGGAGTTTCAGGCTGAAGTGGCGAGAGGATGTAAAAGGGCATAGCTGGCATTGAAAGGTCTCACCTCTGTCTTGGTGCTGATGAACCTGGTTCAAGAGGTGAAAGATAAAAGCATGTTTTAAGCAAAGTAGTTTACTAGCATTATAGAAATTTCAACCCTACACTTCTCATACAACTTAAAAAAGAAGAAAAGTTAACTAATGAGTGAACTCTTCATTCTGAGCACTTGGAAGGAGGTCAGGCACTAAGAACAGTAGGATTTTTTCACACAGAAGTCAGCAAATATAAACATGAGACTCAAGTGAAAAAAAAAAAAATCAAGAAGCTATTTTTCTGCAGCATAGAAATGAAGTCTGCTCTGGATCAAACAGTCCTTACAACCAGATCCTTATGACCTATCAGTGCATAAAAAGACTTTCAAGCTATAACTAATAGCTTTCTTGATCAAAAACCAAACAAACCAACCAACCACAATCTATTACATGACCTGCTAAGCACGATCATTCTGTGCAACCTCAAAATAACAACAGTTCAGAGCAGCCCAGCAAAACACCAACCTGCATAGCAATGTCCGTCACTGACTCATGTAACATTAGAGTAAAAATACAGTGCCTGGCAATTCCAACAGTTTGTTGCAAATTAATTCTACCAGAAAATCAACAGCTCTGTTATGATAAAATACAAACACGAGAGATGGTGTTTGCCACTTATTCTATTTTGTCAGTCAATGATCACAGTTAATCTTACTGTCCTCATATTTTGACTGCAGGCTCTTTCTCACAGAGACTGCATGCTCAGTAGGACGAGACTGTTGAGTTATCCTCAGGCCCAATCCTGATTATCTCTTTAAGAGAACTCTATCCATCCACCCATATGTAATGGTTTACATATTACTTGAATGGACACACTCGTTAATATAAACTATATACCTATAATTATACAATTTCTTGTTTGACACCATACTTATGAAAGGAAAGGAATAATTGAGCCCAGCATAACAGTGGCAGGTATACTGAAAATTATTTTCCCTATAGCTTCACAAATGAATTTTAAATCCTGACAGTAGCACTCCAGGCTACTCCCTGTAGAAAGACTGGCAAATAACATACATTTATTTCTTACTAATTGATGAACATGTGATCAAGACAAACTGGCACCAGACTGAGCTCCACACATTCGTTTTCACTTGCGACTCAAGTTGGTTGGGAGCATTTCAGTGAGACAGATTTTTGTTGGAAAATGGCAATTTGTTGAATGAAAAATATTTCACCTGAAACATGGAAAGGTTTGATGAACTCTTGGCAAACAAGAAATTATTCCCCTACTCTGCTGAGCAGCACTCTATCCGTCGCTCCCTGAGCTTGGCTCAGAAGAGACCCAAGCCTGGGAGTCCAAAAGCCTGAGAGCTCCAGCTCTGTGCCAGGGGGCCCGGAAAACCTAATCCTAGCTAAGGCTTTCAGCTCCTTCCAGTTTCCTGCAAAGCTAAGTTCTAGTTCCCAAGAGTCCTGGTGTAGACACTACATAGCTCTGGGGTAACAGTAGCATTTCCCAAATACAGGTCTTGTCAAAATTCAGGTTGGAGTTTCCCATGGTTGTAGATTTGGCCTGATTAATTTTCTATACAGTAATAGAAATTCAGCCACAAGTTCACATCCAGCATTCCCAGCTCTACATACACATGTCCTGAATTCAGGTCTCCTGAAATGTGAAGCTGGGAGATGTCTCTCTTTTAGCCCTTCTCCATTCAGTGAAGACACATTTCACTAGTGCTGTACAAGTTTTCATTCAGAAGTTCTTCAAGGGCCCTAGAAATTAGGTACTGAACGAACAGCAAGAGAGAATTTCTCTTGGCCAGCCACTTTAGAGAATGACATTCTCAATATCATATAAACATGACATTTACAAAGTAGTTCTGGAATCTTAAAATTGCACCTGAAAACAACAACAAAAAATAGAAACTAATGCTAACCCAAGGCAGTTCTAAAGCAACAACCTTGCAGAAGAATAGCAGCATAATAAATTCTAAATATTAACAGTTTACAACAGAAATGGCAACCAGATTGCCTGTCTACACTACTGAAAACAGGATGGTCTGTGAGCACAGTGGTCTGTAAGCACGCTCCTACATGAAGAGCACCAAGATATACTAATGGTAGCAAGTACTCTCACCATGGCAACTTTATTTCTCACACCCACTGAGATTCTGTGCACCAGGGTTTCTCTCTAGGATCCCCTTCAATCATTTCCCTGCCTACATATTTAACCACTTCTTCTAGAGGCCCCTTATTACAGCCATCAATATGATGCCCTCTAAAGGCTGTCACTGCTGTAGTCAGGTGACAAAGTCTGTGTGGGAGCCCACCTTCTTTTCCCAGGAGCATAGCATGCTACCCCTGTAATATCTTTCAGGAACGGATGAGAACAGGGAGGACTGATTCATCTTATTTGGATTTTTCTCCTGCCCAAAGACAATAGCAGCAGCATCAATGTATTTGTCATAAAATAAAGTACATTTATATGTTGCAGCTAGGGAATGACAGAATTTAAATGAAAATATCTAAAGTTTTGAAAGGAAGAATTTTAGATCTACAAAAAAACACCCCCTATGAAACAACATCAAGCCCAATATTTAAGCCCCTGATGTCCTGGGTCCAGTGCCACCATAAGATTTTTATTTTTTAATTTTCAGAAATAAATAATATTTATTTTAAAATTTGAACACTATTAGAAATAGAAGCTAAGAATTATAGTCCCTTTAAAGGAAAAGCTATTCCTTATTTCCTCATTCAACAGCAGCTAAAAGAGCCAAGAATTGCCATTCTATGCTATGCAGAATGAAAAGTCAAGGCAGCAACTACTTGCTGCAGAATAAAAACCAAGAAACCCTGTAGAGCTACACAGAAAGCCACAGGGGAGATCCAGGTCGCGCAATGTTACAGTCCAAAAAGCTGCCTTCTCCCTCCATGTGACAGGGAATGGTTCTTACACTGTGTTAACGCTACCCAAACCATCAAATGTCCTCTTTAGACAACTATGCTGTTGCTGACTGAACCACAGGCAGGAGATGAGTGCAGCTGACGGGTTTTCTCCAAAGTCCCAGTCTGAACCCAGCTGCTCCTAGATTTGGATCTCTCTGAATTACGCTGCAACAAACCACAGTGCACAACCTGCTCATAGAGAATGGTTCTTTCAAAATCCCATAAAATTAATGTTTGACTTATGTCAGAAATACTTAAGAACGTCTACCTTCTGAGTTTATTTATTTTAACCGTAGATACTCTCCTTGACTGTGCAAAGTACTTTTATCATCTTTATTTTAACCGTACAGTCTTCCTAGTCTCAAATGATATTTTGTGGTTCTACAGGTTTTTCGATGTGTTCTTGATATCACATACACAATAATTTTCAGCAGAACTATACACTCCTTACAAACTTTAGGCCTAGTTTAAGGACTTGGGTAGAAATTTTCTATTGGCTAAATATTTTTTATTTGTTTCTTTCTTTCTGTTTCTCTTGCTGCCTCTTCATTCTTACATTACAAGAAAGAAAAAAAGAATCCATTCAATTTATCTTCTCTACCACAGAGATTATTATGATCACACCTCCTTTCTATACCTGGCAGTCACATTCTTTTCAGCTTTTTACTTCAAAAGGAGTTCTTGCCATCCCACTAATCATTTTCATTGCCAGCTTTTAAAATCCCTTCTATTTCTGATATGTGTTTTTGATGCACAGTGACCAGAAACAAATATTGTAATCAGCATATCATGTTAATAATAGCACTGTAATAATAATTTCAGTGTTATTTTAGTTTTATTCTAAAGACATTCAAATAACTTACATACTTTTTAACCACTGCTGTGCATGCCAAGATAAGGTTTCCATTGAACTGCCTACGACACACAGAGATTTTGCCTGAGTAGTTACAGTTCATTATATCAGACAGCCAGGTGCATGATTAGACTCTTGTTTCCGAAGTGCAGCACCTTGCATTTGTCAACAATAACTTCATTTGCCCCCTTGTTTATCTGTCAGCCAGCCTCTTTATTCCGTTTCAAGCTTTCCCTTTTCTAATCATGATTCATGCACATAAGGTTGCATCGTCTACAATTCTCTTACCCACAGTCATCATTTTGTGCAGATGACATTTGGTAAAATATTCACAATTCCACTCTTAGTAACGAAACAGCCCTCTTAGCCTTTTGTCATGCTTAAAATTCCTAATTCCTTCCTATCCTTTGTTTTACTGTCTCTTGGTGAATTTCTAATTTGCCATAGTACATCACATTGCTTAATTTATTTGGCAGCTTCTCAGTGAGAAGCTTTGCCAAAGGCTTTTTTAAAGACCAAACAAATCTCAACTGATTAAGTCCATGATTTTCCTGACATGCTCAAAACATCCTAGTAGAAAATTTTCTTTTACAGAAACTATGTGTTCCTACCATATCACATCATTCATATAATTGTATTTTTTTCTGCTACATTTTTTGTTGACGTACTTACATTTCTGGTATCATAAGAAGTTTCTTAAATCATCTCTTCATACTTAAAAGCAACATCCTTGCTGACTTACCAGCCAGCTGGAAAGTATACACTGGTCTGTACAGACGTACCAGAGTTACAAATACAGATGATCTCACCTAACAGGGTACAATGGGGAATTGGGGTGAGG